TATATATATATATATATTATATATGATATGCAGAATATCATTTTTATTGCATGTTTTCAGAAAAAACTTGCAACAAGAATTGGAAACCTTGAAGAAGAAACTTGCAAAATTCAAACTACAAGAGAAGTTGAATAGAGATGAAGTTACATTTATATTATTACTCTAGTATTTACTGAATTTGCATACATGTATTTTATTTGCTTTACGTTTTCAGCAAGAATCTTAAATTACAAGAGATTGCAGTGAAGGAAAAATTGAAGGCAGCAAGAACAAAATTTATCTTGGTACATTGAAATGTGAAGTCAAAATGTACACAAATCTTTACGTCGAGTCAAATATGAATATTATTGAATCTTAATGCGACACGCATAAACTGGTCTTCAGAAGATATAGCGAGCGCTATGTCTTCACGATGCATCAGTCCCAAAGCTTACCGATACATGAGAAGTATTATAAAAATGCTTCTCCCTGTTTTTTCAATTCTGAGAAGGTGATAATATCAACATAAATCCTGGCATGTTAGATACAATTCTTACCTGCATGAAATGTAAAGGAAAAAGCATGCAAACGTATGAAAGCTAGTTATACTCACATTTAACGAAATCTACTTATATAATAAAATTATTATCGATCGAAAACTGCAGAAAATTGTTGGATCACATAAGTTGTGTGTCAATGGTCCGTAGTATATTTTCTAAATAAAAACAAACGATTACTATCATTATGATACGGCAATGATCAAAAATACACCTTTGTGCATTATTTCATGATTGTATAATATAGGTCACACTGTTACTGACATGATATGTGATATGGGTTCAACCAAAGAGAATTAGTTAAAGCGGAAGGTTCGTATATCATGACGAGAGTCATCTGTTGAGTCCGACGCATGGAGAAATTAGATAGGTGAAGCATTCCGAAGGATGCGCCGTAGACAATAAAAAGCGATAGAGTTTAATTGATATTGAAAATACAATAAAATGCAATAGAAACCGATAGAGTTTGATTGTTCGAAATTTATTCATTTCTACTCTATTATGCGCAATGCTTTACCTTTCTGATTCCATCATGGTCTGATGCACAATTTGTTCCTAATTTTATTTTTATTTTATATAGACAGAACAGAATATTATAATGAAGTATTCGTGACCGTGCAGCTTTAGGTATGAAAATGGAGGATACCGAGTTCGAATTCCGTTTGTCTTCGTTAATTTTTTCGTCGCTATTATTGATAAATGCAGCATCAGACTCATAAGATGGCATTGATAGCAGCATACGCGAAAATATATTATGATCTCATAAGGATCTTCCACTCTATCTAATCTTCTTTGGGTTCAACGAACATCGCGCTATAGTCTGAATTGAAAATTAGAATTGCTCTCAAAAACAATTTAGAAGCAGACTTCCAAAATGCATTTTGTCCAAAATTTCAATTTTTTTAGTTAAAGATGGCATAGTGTTCAGTGTTGATAGATTCATATTTTAAGTTACTCTATGTTCTAAAAATATTTCCACACTATCAATTTATGTGCTAAAAAAAATCTTTACATTCGAAGTGCATAGTTCTGTGACTAGAAATAAACAAAATGTATGTTTAACATTTTTAGCAATTGTTTAACAATTTTATTGAACATTTTCATGTCTTATTAGCAAATTGTTATTTTTTGTAAGGCATACAGTTTTCTTGTGACTTTCTTCCTCGTTTTCTGAAAATTATACATTTTAGATAAAAAGCATTTTGAAAGTCTGCTCCTTAATTATTTTCAGCATCCTCTCGACGAAAAATTAAAGGTTTCTATGTTTGCAGATATGCCACACTTGTTCGAGTTAGCAAGAAATCACTTTATTGATAATGAGTTTGGTGTGCGGAGACATCGCATGGACAAGAAGTATATCGAATGAATCTTAAGTATTTGTGCAAAAGAGATGTAAAAGTTTCTTACAATATTTTCCAATATTACCTTCACGTCCAAGGCTATGAAAGACAAAAAATTCTTCCTACTATACTTTATACAATTTTTATACAATTACTTTCTGAACGAATAGCTTGCATTGAATGGTTTGGACAAAAAACTACTTCAATAATTTTGACTAGAAGGAAACAGCCCGCATTATCTGCTTGTTTAACGACTGGTTGGAAATGTTTAATGCTAATAGTATATATGGCAAACATGACGGCAAGATAGCATTTTATAAGAAATGACCGAACTAATGAATGAGATGACAATTGAGATGGAAGGCACAAAAGTTTAATTACATTCCAAAAAGGCATTATTATTAGTAACTGTTCTTTGCAGCAATTTTTGCCAATTAAGGAAATGTATTCCAACAACAATGTTAAGATGCAATACATTATTTACCAAACGGTTAAATCAAGATGTACTTGAAAACTTATTTTCATTAATCAGAGCTATTGGTATTGCATGCGACAAGCCTATCGCTCTAGATTTCAAATACTGTGTAAAAAAGATATGTTTTAGGCAAGTACTCAACCAATGTGTTTTGTAATGAAAGGATTTGTAACGTTTCGGTAGAATCTATCTGGCTTTGTATCCCCTCTTGTCATATACTGCCGAAGCTACTGCCGCATTTTGATATATTACTGCCTTTTGAAGAAGAATTGCGCAAAATATGATGCAAAAAATAATAATGTAACTGTATACAATCTACGAATATCGAACTTTGAAAGAAGAGGAATTTTTCGCTTTTATACACTGAGAGAAAAATTTACTAAATTTTAATAAATAATTGTTTGAATAGTACTAATATAAATATAATATAATACAGAAATCAAACGTGTTATAATAGTGCGTACTCTACCGTTGTGCCATGAGTGATAATTTCTATAATTCTGTTTTCACTATACTGAAGATGGCCCGAAGAGGAGCCGAAACGCCTATGTAATATAAAAAAGATTTTACGCATCACTTACTGCATTATAATTCTCATTAGTCCATTTGATTACATTTATAATAATAGGTAAATCAAATATATTTATGGAAAATGAATATTTGCTGAATCAAATATAATAATAGGTATAAATATACAAAACTCGAAATTGTCAAAAATGTAATCAAATGGAGCTAATAACGCGGTAAGTGATGCGTAAAATCTGTATCATATATCAAGTATTACAGACGTTTCGGCTTCTCTTCAGTATACAGTGAAGTCAGAATTATAGAAATTTTCACTCATGGTAGAATACTCACTCAAACGATTTAAATTCAGTTGACACTTGGTAGAAAGGTCAGATGGCAACGAACAAATAATTGAAACATGATTATTCCGTTCAGTCAAAAAAGCAGTTATAAAGAATTAATCAAATAGTAAAAAATATTGACTAAGAAAATCTATCAGTATTGAAATCAAACATGGTATAGTAATGGGTACTCTATCGTTGTATCATGAGCGAAAATTTCTATAATTCTTACTTCACTGACTGTATACTGAAGATGGCCCGAAGAGAAGCCGAAACATCTATGTAATACTTGATATACGATAAAGATTTTACGTACCACTTACCGCACTGTAACTCATTAGCCCTATTTGATTATATTTATAATTACAGATAAATCAAATTAATGATTCTTGTATCAAATAAATATACGTTTACATTTAGTAAATATTCAACTGGTACTATTCAAATATTTATTAAAATTTAAAACATTTTCTCTTAGTGTAGATAAAATGGACAGAATAGATGCTATTGAAGATGAGGGATTAAAGTATATTACTGGTTATGTTGTCCATCGATTTTAATTGAAATAGGATGAAACCACTAGCTGTAGATCATTCTTTAAAAAAAAATTCATATTTTTATTCAGAACAATATGGAAAAAAATTAATAAAATATTTAATAGTTATGATTGATCATAAAGATCACATTATAGATGATTTTATTTCATTTTATCACTGTCTTATATGATGTAATTTGAATTAAATAAAGTAACAATTATCCATAATTAGACTCATGTATAGTGTTGTTAATTTCCCGAGAAATTTAAATCATCGGGGAAGAACCTATTTTTTTCGGAATTTTTCTCGGGAAAGAACCTGGAATTGGGAGAAAACGGTTTTTTTTAAATAATTATAAAAATATCAAATTCTTATAGCACACACAAAATAAATTCATAGCTTAGCTTTAGAAGATGGCATCTGATATTAATTTCTTGAATAGAATGTTAAAAAATACAAAATATAACAGCTTACAATAAAAAAGAAGCACAAATAATAATAGTAATAATAGTATATGCTTTTACAGTATAGGTTAATTAGGTTAAGTTAAAGAAACAAGTTGCTATATTAAATAAAATTATAAAAAATTTTTTTAACATAATGTATACATACATATATTAAGTTTGTATGGAATAAACAACATAAAATAAACGAGGAATTAAAAATAAATTTTTAGTAGTTAACACTTGAAGATATATTATAACCATAGGCCATAGATATAAGTATAGATACTATAGATAGTTAAGATAACTAATATACGTATAGATATAAGTATAGATACTATAGATAATTAAGATAACTGATACACGTTGATTCATATTAACTGATAGTGTCGCCAATGTCGTCATATGTAAAGAAAATACGGTGGCCACGGGTTCTTTCTCTCAAAGCGTGGGAAGAAATATTTTTCGTTTCCGTTCTTTTCCGAGTTTTTTCCCGATTCTTTCGCTCCCTGGCAACACTATATTAATTCACCAAATGCTTTATTCTTTTTGGTAGCGTTACTACATCCCAGAAGAATAAAAATAATTTGCGCAAGCATATTGTAATATATATAACGAATTTATAATTGATCCACATCTAGTTCTAGGATCTAATTGTGGATCATGATGTAGTCTAACAGTAGTAGTTTAACATATTCAAGTTTATTTAAAATTAATGACCGTTAAAAATCAATGATAATTAAAATTACAATAAAAATTAATGAAAATTAAACGTTTAACAACATAAAAACAGTTAAATTATGAATAACACTTTTTGCATATAGACATATGTGTATACTATTTTATATTCTATTTCGATATTTAAAACAAATAAATCTTTTCAAGATTGTCGTTGTGTAAGATTTGACAAGTTTTTAGACATTTTAATAATAAATTTACGTAATAAAAGTATCGTTATAACATAATGATTAAATAAATACCCGCGGATACATTTAATCTCAACTGAGCATAACGTTGATTTTTTTTCCATAAAAATCTATTGCTATTTACTACCTATTATAAAAGCCATAAAGCAATTCTTATGATATTACACTTTGAATGAATTTTGAAAGATACATACTTTAATTAACTTCGCACATTTAATTAGTTAATCAATAAAATGTATACGCTGTTCCTAATAAATTAAAATCAATTGACATTTGGAACAGATAAAACAAATAGAACGGGGCTAGTGTTGTGACACTTTTTCTTTGAGTTATAAATCTTTATACAATTACGATAGATAATGGTAAATGCTTTGAAACATTGCATGTTTATCTCAATAATTAAGTACTTATAAATCCTTAATATATCTCGTAAATAAGAAAAAAATTACTTACAAGGATACAAAGTGGATCAATATGCCTTACCTATGAGTCATGTTGAGCATCCTCAAAGGATAAGTTGAGCTATGAAGATAATCGTTTAATGAGATTATATATTACTAAAAATATTAAAGGATTATGTGTACATATTAATCAAATTTTTATTATTTTCAACTTAAGTATAATAATTTGTAATAATCTCTCGTTTTAAATGCTTTAATTAACAAAATTAGGAAAACTAAGATCTTTACTCTTTATAATAATAATTAAACGTAAAATATATATATCGTTAAAATAGAATAAAAAACATCGATAAAGACAGATTTTTATTTAAGCAGCTGAATTTATAAGTTCGTTGTGGGATACTCGACAAGCCCAATATCGATATTGATTGAAATATTTTTTTATAATTGAAACCGTAAATGAAATAGCAACTTGAACATTAAAGTTAAAAAATACGATAATAGCTTATATCAAAAAAACATTTGATTGTTATTAATTGCTTTAATTATCATGTAGACCAAAAAGAATACTCGTCTAATAATTTTCTTTTGATATACGAAAACAAAAAAGTGCACGTATTTTGCTGTTGACAGTCGGACACAGATTATTGTATTAAGCACAGTAATTTCTGTCTTTGTGCTATCTTACGCAACCATAGACGTATCTATATATATATTTTGGTTATTTAAATCTGTCAAAAATTGTTACTCTTCGAAAAAAATTAATGCGTCGAATGAAAAGTTAAAATCCAGATGTTACAATCTTAACTAACCAAGTTAAATTCTGCTAAGTATCCAACCTAAGTAAATAGTTATATATATAATTTTTCTTCAAGGATATTCTTATTAGTTTTCTGATTCGAATCCAAGGAATTGCACTTTAATTCCCTGTCAAAAATTATTACTCTTTTGAAAAAAATTAATGTATCAAATAAAAAATTAAAACCCAGATGCTACAATCTTAATTAATTAAATTCAATTGTATCAAATTAAAAAATAAAATACAAATGATACTGTCTCTTGTTATTTATACAAACTTATCTTTTTAAAAAAAAGATAAAAAAAGCGCTAAGAGTGCATGTTTTTCGTAAAGCATTATTTGGACCGATTTCACCAACACCAATTACTTAATTGGCTGTGGAACTGGCTAATTATGTTTGCTGTTTAATAGAATCAATCACAAAACTTACCTTTTTAAAAAAGGTAAAAAAAGGTGCTAAGAAAATGTGCTTCTCGAATAAAACCTAAATATCCAACCCAATTAATAGTAGTTTTTATTTTTCTTCAAAGATATTCTTATTAAAGGTTTTTTTAAATTTTTATTTTAACCCAAGTAATAGCAATTTTAATTCTTTATCAAAAGTTACTACTCCTTGAAAAAAACTAATATATCAAATAAAAAATTAAAAGTTGCTACAATCTTAACTAATCAAGTTAAATTCTATCAAATTAAAAAGTAAAACGCCAGTGGTACTATCTTACTTAAGTTAACTCTAATGATATGTATCATTCATATAAAAGATTTGATATCAACAAAACTGACGCCAAATTAAATTCCACATAATTTTATGTATTATTCGTAAAAAAGATTTGATATCAACAACTGGCGTTAAGTTAATCCCATGTAATTCGGATACGAAATTAAATAAATAACTTTTATGATTAACTTTTGATTAATTGACTTTTATGATATAATTAACTTTAATGATATATATTATTCGTATAAAAGATTTGATATCAACAGCGCCAACTTAAATCCCATACCAAATTAAGTAAAGAATACAATTCAAAATTGCGTTACCTTATCCATTCAAGTGTTATCACAAAATGTTAAAGAAGTAAACCCTTATAGAAATTTCTCTTTCGTTTTGAAGGATATTGTTGCATTTCTGCGGAAAGATGTACTTTTAATTTTGTATAGCCCTCCGCATTCTAATTCTAATCGGTAAACGCATTATGAATTTTGGCGCAAATTGTATTGTCTGAATAGTATATGCGCGATTCTATTTTTCAATTTTCAGAGAAAATTGCGAGAATTAAGAGTTCAAAAAAATATACTTGATGTGAAATTGCTGGTTGAGTCACTCCTAATGTAAGTGCAAGTGCTTCTTGCGTTTGGCACGAATCTTCATCCAATAATGCTTCCAATTCCGCGTCTTCGTACGCTTTCGGCCTTCCGCTACGTTCTTTGTCTTCGACGTCAAATTCCCCGTTCTTAAACTTTTGAAACCACTCACGGCAAATTCTCTCACTTAAGGCAGCCTCACCATATGCTTCTACAAGCAATCGATGCGCCTCAGCTGTAGATTTCTTCAAATTAAAGAAGTAAATCAAAAGCTCCCGCAAATGATGCTTATTCGGCTCAAAACTCGACATTTTCGCACGAAAAAAGATATAAGATGCTGATGCAAAATCGCTAATATTTCAAGGTTATGTTTTTGCCAGATGTCCAACATTACGATATGACGTTTTACAACTGACAATTTTAACTATAACATACTGGTAGCACCATTGTTTGTCAAACGGCGGAAACTTATTTATACCAATAATATTTGATAACATATACATTAGGTATTTGATTAATTGAGATCTCTCACTTTTACAGTCAGATTAGGTTAATGCACAATAGTTTTAATGTGCACTGAGTGTGCACCAGTTCTGCCAGTGAAAAACGCTAATAGTTAATGGCTGTATTTCGATATATGCTGCCACTACTGAAAATCTATAATTCATATTAGGTATACTATAAATTTTTAGTGCTAGCAGTGTATGTCAGAACATTTGTTTTATGATAAATTGTAAAAAAAGGTTTTGAAAGTCTATTACGCAGCATACTTCAAAATATTATTTGTGATTATTTAAAAGACAATTATTTATACTAACTTATAGTGAGATATACATATATTTATAGCACATTTTGAGGAACTGTACGTAAAACAGTAAAACTCTATAATTTAAATTCCGATTATGACACATTAGTTAAAACAGAAGAT